ACCCTTCCGAAAAATCTATTTTGCCATGAAACTATAAGAGTTAGGAAAAAAAGTGAATGTACACTTTTTGTCAATAACAAACTGTTCTATCTAAAAACAACATCATTTTCAGTAGGGCCGAATTAATTTTTTTTATAATTTAATGGGTCCGAGTCCCCATAACTCCGCCATTGATTGCTTGCGGGACTTCTACTTCTATGGAAAAATAGTATCTTATAAGAAGATGTGTCATGCCAAATTTGGCTTAAATAGCCTTCTTCATTTAGAAGTTATTTAAAAAATTCGATTTTTTTTAAAAATCTTTAACGCCCTATATTTCCAAAATGAAGCGTCTCTGAAAAAAAATGTATACTTGATTTTTTTCTTATTTTTTTTATGAGGAATATCTCCTTAAAGTTTGTCGACTTAATCCTGAAACACCCTGTATAGTCATCAATTGCGTCAATTGTAACTCTGAGATTGAAACTGGACCTGAGGGTATGGATAAAAGTAACGGTGTTAAAATTCCCCTAAATTTTTGAACAACAAAGTATTTAAAAGAGCGCATTGAACACATCAAGAGCATTAGCAAAAGATAGGGGCTGAAACGATACTAACACTTTTTTGCTTATTCTGTAACTATTGTTATATCAAGAGAACGAGGAATTTTATATTGCCGATAGATATGTAGTAAAACTAGTGAAACGCTGAAAGCAAGTTCATAAAGTATCAAGTTCCTTACTTGACGAACCTCTAACTTAAATAATCATTTGATCCTGCATATTAACTTCGCATCTGAAGTTTGATTATTGGCAACAACTTCGAATGAAAAGGTATTTCGGTCTTTAATAAAACAATGGGTAGGCAAAATAATTGGGTGGATTATAATTTTCAAATAAGCATATTTTGTTTCAAGTTATATCAAGATATTGAATCAATACATAAATACCATTAGGGATGCTTTTGTTGAATTGAAATAAATTAAAATATGTATAGTAAATGCGATTTAAAAAAAAGCAATTTTTTTAAGTTGTTAATTACTAGGAAGTAATTGCAACGATGCGATGGTTTGAAATTGAGTTAGGTAGGAGATAAAATTAATTATACAATGTAATTCAATTTTACCTGCTTGGGTATTTTATAAATAGATTACATACGAACATTACGAATTCGGTGTTTTAAAAAATATATATAAACTTGTATATAAACGATGTCTTAAAATGAATTATTAATCATATCCTCTTAAAAAAACAGCAAATAGCAATATATTACATTGAAACTTAGTACAACTGTCATTAATACTGTTAAATACATACTTCTGTATTATTAGTTTTCAATTACGAGTATATAGACCGGAAGATATTAGACTGAAGTTCGACGACGTCTTTCTCGTTTATGCCTCTGAGAGTACTGACAGGTAACCGAGAGATAAGTACAATAAACTAAATTTAAAAGATGGACTGCAGGACACCTTTGTGAAAATTCAATTTTCCTTTTCAAAAAAATAATGTGTACAGCGACGTATTTCTCACTTATGCCATGTTCGTAAGTTGAAGAGAAGTATCGATTTTATCACAAAATTTTTTTGGCATAAGTGTCGCAAGGGACCTAAAAATGGAAAACTTTGTAAGAAAATGTGGAAAAACATCTTTATTTGTCTACCAATTTCTCATTAATGCCAATTAGAAATATGACATTATTATATTCGAAAAGCTCATAAAAAACATTGGCATAAGTCCTACTAAGGACTAAAGAAAATAGGGCTTTGGAAAAGCTGCGGAAAATTTTTCGTTTTGGTCAACGTTTTTCTCGTGAATAAATTAAAGCTTATTGCAAAGAAAAAAATGAAAGTATTCATTTTTTTTAAAGGGCATAAGTCCCTGGTGAGGACTATATGCTAAAAATTTTTTGAAAAGTTGTAGGAAAATTCATGAAAATTTTTACGTCTTTCTCGCTTATGCCATTTTGCATGCACGTAGGAAACTACATTATAAAGTCATATAAATGTAGGCATAAGTCCACATTGGATTTTCATGTTGTAAATTAATTTGAATTTTAATACGAGTCAGGTCGACAAAGTAGAAAAATAATAGAAAATTGCCACAATTTTCTCGTTTATGCCGTTTCGTACACGAGTAGAAAATATTACTAAAAGCCATTTTCAAGAGTGGCATGAATGCCACAAGGTACCGTCGTATGTAAAAATTTTTAAAAAGTTTATTTCATCGCCTACGCAATTTTCGAAATACTTATACTTACTTGCATTTAGCGTATTTTTAATTTTTATAAATATAAGTAATTCATGTATTTAATGAAAGTTAATAATAAACTATTTCGGCTTAAGTCCCCACATATTAGAAATGATTTTTAATTATTCTTTGAGTCATGATCAGAAAAAGAAAAATTATATAATATTGCCACAAATTTCTCGTTTGTTCGTAAATGAGTAGAGTATTTTATCACAATAGACCATACGTATTTATGAACAATATATTTAAATTTTAAAAATTAAAAATATTATATAATTTGAATTAACCGCTTCAGTGCAAGGATGATCTACTTGAATTGAGCCGACTAAGGTAGAAGAAGAAGAAGAAGAAGAAGAAATAATTAAGCTAGAATACATAGGGAAGAAACTGATTTATAACTGATTTAATATCATGTATATTGAATTTTGTTTTTTGTTTCTGGTACTTTGTACCTTAATTACTTAATTTGTACTTTTATACATTTTATTTTTATATTAAAAGATTTATTTAAGTAATAGTAATTGAATTGAAAAACCGCTGCCAACTCAATTGTCAGAATGCTTCCTCAAAGACTTTGAATTACTAATTTTTAATTATAACTAACACAAACAATAACACTTAAAATAATACAAATTTTTATTAACTTAAAATTAAAGCATATCAAAAATAAAAAGTTTTTTCGGTTTTATGATTTTTTACATTTTCAAATTTCAAACAGTTTTATCTGCAGCTCTTGATGAAAACGGATCAAAATAAAGGCCTTACTACCAGCTTTATTATAAGTTATTAAGAATTATCGTAATAAAAAATAACATGTCGAAAAATCAAACTAAACCCAATATAAAGCTTTCTCTTTTTCATGAAATTTTTTTTATTTTAAATTTTTTATTCCCTTTTATAGTTAGAAATATTCATTTTTTATATAGATATCTTCTCCGACACTTGCATTATTTATCATACATTTTTTAAATTAATTTAAGTATATCGAAAATTGCGCAGGCGAGGAAATAACCGCAATTTGTAATTTTTGACAACTTTTTAAAAAATTTTACATACGACGGTACCTTGTGGCATTCATGCCACTCTTGAAAGTGGCTTTTAATAATATTTTCTACTCGTGTACAAAACGGCATAAACGAGAAAATTGTGGCAATTTTCTATAATTTTTCTACTTTGTCGACCTGACTCATATTAAAATTCAAATTAATTTACAACATGAAAATCCAATGTGGACTTATGCCTACATTTATATGACTTTATAATGTAGTTTCCTACGTGCATGCAAAATGGCATAAGCGAGAAAGACGTAAAAATTTTCATGAATTTTCCTACAACTTTGAGACTTATGCCTTCATATTGAACCCATAGAGGAGTGATGCCTACTTGACACAGTACATTATTTATAGTAAGTATCATAAATTTTCAACGGCATAAATGAGAAAGTTATAGAATGAAAATAAAAATTTTCCGCAGCTTTTCCAAAGCTCTATTTTCTTTAGTCCTTAGTAGGACTTATGCCAATGTTTTTTATGAGCTTTTCGAATATAATAATGTCATATTTCTAATTGACATTAATGAGAAATTGGTAGACAAATAAAAATGTTTTTCCACATTTTCTTACAAAGTTTTCCATATTTAGGTCTCTCGCGACACTTATGCCAAAAAAGTTTCGTGATAAAATCGATACTTCTCTTCAACTTACGAACATGGCATAAGTGAGAAATACGTCGCTGTACACATTATTTTTTTGAAAAGGAAAAGTGAATTTTTACGAAGGTGTCCCGCAGCCCATCTTTTAAATTTAGTTTATTGTACTCAGTACTCTCAGAGGCATAAACGAGAAAGACGTCGTCGAACTTCAGTCTAATATCTCCCGGTCTAATATTGTGGATGTCGTTAGCTACGATCAGTGACGTTGTTCGAGGTTAGATTTCTTGTATGTGACATTTATAAAAATTTATTTTATTTAAATAAAGGTATTATTGACATTTAGTCTTTTTTTTCTTTTTTGCCCACCTGATAAAATAGCCATGGGCCTCACCTATTCGCAATGTCACAAGCCACCACTGATTTTAAGAAATAAAAATTAGTATCTTAAAAAGTGACCTCTACAAAAGTTGTAGATTTTTACATGACCTACAACTTTTGTATTGGATACTTTTTTGTTAGACGTCAACTTTCGCCAGAAATCCCAATGATACAATTTTTCACAACTTTTCAACCCCCCAAATCAACCCTCCATCCACCACCCTGCTCACGCATATATTTTTTTTTTATGTTTATTAGGTTTATTATAAGCCCTTTTACCATTTCCACTTATAAAAGTCCAGGTATTAATTTTTGTTTTCTCGAAGTGTAATTTGGTTGGACTAAACACTTGTAATGCTATCTATTGAAAAGTCAATGGTGGGAGAAATACCAAACTTTAATTAAAAAAAAAATATTTGAAAAGTATTTGAAAAGTTTATATCTTACAAAAGCAGAAGAATTGACATTTTCCTTATATTTCAATGGTTCTTAAAATAAAACTGCCCGATTATATTTGATTTTGTTTTTCAATACTGTGGACCTAAATATTTCCGCCTTCGCTGCTGTGGAAGTCAATATCCGCTACTGAATAAAATAATACTTTTAATGTACACACGGCAAAAACTAACAAAAAAAGACGATTTATTAGGTATTTCTTTTGTTTTACATTCCTGTACAACTTATCCTATTACTTTCATCTCCCGATAAGGATACGCCGCTAAGAGGGAGAATCCTTTGTTCCAGGTAAGATTCGTGGACCAACAGACCCCCACCTTCATGAAGCAGAAACGCAACTGCGAGTTCTGGGTGCGCGGCACCAGCCGGGGCGTCGTCGAGAGCCCCCTTCACTCCCTGCCGGCCAACACCACCTGCCTGTACCACCTGCAGGGCCTGGACGCCACCGTGTCCCCCTCGCCGATCCCCTTCAGACCGCTGAACGCCAGGTACCCGGACTGGCGGCACGTGGGGATGATCCTGCCGCCCCCGCGGTACAGGGTATGGCTGTCCGTGATAAAGTTCCACGTCGCCAGCTCCTGGGACCCCCAGAAGCCCGACCAGGTCTGCAGGAGCTATCTGAACGTGTGGGACGGGCAACTTTGGACGCCGTCCAACTGCGAGGGGCTCTACTGGTAATTGTTCGTGATTGAATAAGGCTTTTGTGTAACTCTGTTCGCTCCGTTAAATTCTCTATTAAAACGACTGCTTGAGGTCGTTTATATTCTTGAATTATTGCTACAGTCCGCACGATATTTGTTGAACTATCGGAACTACTCTACAAATTACCGCAGCAGAGGCATGCCATTTCTTCTTCCTCGGGGCCAAGAAAGTGACGCAGGGGTCTTCGTGGAATTCCATCTCAACAAATATCGTACGGACTATACGCACTAGTAGGTACTAAAGTCTGTTTACGATAAGTTTGCAATGACGTCACAGTGTGAAATGTCGCAGTGTCAGGTTGTTAATTTTTGAGGATATTTAAGAAAATTAAATTTTAGTGGTGAATCCACCTTATTAAAATTATAGCCTATAACCACAGATTACGAGGCCATTTAAATAATTTAGGAAATCGTCAAAAAGTTGAATTTGATTTATTTGTTTACATTCGGTGAATCACGGAAATAACAGTATTATATTTTTAAATTTATCACAAATCACATCAAACTGATGTAAATTTAACTTTAATTTATGTATGGTTTTTCCGAAGTCAGTTGAACATGTATAAAAACGCCTAGCAATAAAATTTAATGAGTTTCATAGACGTCCCTAAAAAATTTTTCTGCTACAGGTAAAAAATAATAATAATTTGTATATAATGTGCAGAAAATTTCTATATGTTCATTTGGCCAACAACATATTCTATGTCCTCAAACAATTTTATTATATTGATGGTAATTTTTGGTTATGACATATCAAAAAGCATTTACATTTTCATTGAAATATGTTACTGCTCGGCAATGTGTCAACAACTGAAATTTATGACCGATCGCCCAGTGCGTCTGTATTTATGCGCCGTTTAGACCTCTATATGGGTATGGCTAAATAAATATGGGAAAAAGTTTTTCAAATATTTCAATGTCGAGTTGATAATGTAGTAATTTAATATTTTAACTAACTGTATACATTCTAAATTGCAGTCTTGTTAAAATAATCAACACCTACAAATCGGCATGACACTGCTTTGCACTTGCACACCGGTAATTTATTAGTTGCGAAAAGAACTTTTTATACGCTTTCGATTGAATCCAATATACAGAAACATTGAGCTGCTATCGAAAGTAGCAAAACTTTAAACGCCTGTCAACTGTCGATTGATTTATTTTAATGATTATAATTGTGTGGTAAATTTAAAACAATAAAATTTCCTAATTTAGCAAAATAGACCAGGAAAATAACCTGGGAAATGACCATTTCGCGACTTTTTGTTTCGGCAAGCTGAATTTATCACTATAGATGCTAAATATTATGTACAATAACATATTAGTTTGCACAATCATAAAGGGGAAGATTGTTTACAGGGTGGTTAATTGTATAATTTTTACGTAAATTCACGTTTTTCGCTTATAACTTTTTTCCGTTCATTTCCACGAGAAAACAGTAAAGTACTTTTTTTCGTCTTCAAAGGACCTACAAAACTAGCCCTCAAGCATAAAAAAATATCGATAGATAATATAGATCAAAAGTTATAAACAGAAGAAGTTTATTTATGACTTTTGAATTAAACATTTATAAACTGCGTTATTATTACCAGAACATTTTGGCATCGCATCCTCTCATTCCTTATCACTGTCTAATATAACTCGCACGAAATCTGGAATCGGTAAGTTGAATAATTTACAAGTTTTATGGCCTTATAAACAAATTAACTAATTATTAGTCTGGACGATCCCGAGGATCTTCCACAATCGCACTGATTTTTTTCATGATAGATTTCATAATAATACATTGAAATCTATCATTTTTTTTTTAAATTCAAATTTGCAACCTGAAATTTTTTTTAATTTTTTAGCCTTAGTTGCAAAATGAAATATACGATGCACGAGCGTGATATAGTTATATATTATTACATATTCGGAAAGCTTATGAAAAGAGCTTTAAGTTAAAAAAAAAATCGTCAAGATTCGTTGAAAAACAACGGAGTTACAGACTGTCAAATATATCATTTTCCAACTCTATATTTCCTGGCCTAAAGAGTTAACGCGATACCGAACAGAATTTTAGGGTTATTCTAATTATTAAATGTGACGTCATTGCTGGCTTATCATAAGTAGACTTTACCGGCCATTTACATTGAGTTGCATCCATTGTTCATGTACCTACCGAAATATTCACATAACATTCTACAACCTTTATCTTTGTTTTTTTTGTATATCTGTATATTTACGATTTAACACTGTAGATTTAGTATGCACTAATTTCAGTATATGTTTTACTAGACTGTAAAACAATTGTCTGTTCCCTTATTTTTTCTTTGGGGACCACTAAAAAAGTGTCTATAGGCAGTTTCGAACTCTTCCATTTGGAGAAATTAATTTTCCGCAACCACCTCCAGGGAAGTTTTCTGTTTTGTCGGCTGGGCAGCAACCCAAAAGGAGAATATAAAACGTTTGCACTAAGTTTAGCAAGGAATAACCCGTATAAAGCACGAGTAAACTCCTGAACTTCGAAGTTAGTTCGTGATAAGTTTCACTTCTTATATGTTTTCCCTAAACTTTCTTGGCGGTTACTCCGCCAAGATTTGTGGTATCACAACACCGCTACTTGTTCATTGTAACGATTACATAGTTTTTAGCGAAAATAAACAACTGTAAGTTATTACCGTATAGCAGCTTTTGTGATATTTATGTTACTCTATGTACACTTCCTTGGTACATCAATTTTAATTTAAGTCGTCTCTGATTATTATGAATCTATTTTAATCTGGATATCAAAAAGGGTTTTCAAAATTAATAAATAATATGCAAAATCAAAGCGTTATAAATATTTATAGGCGCTTAATGAAATGCCCAAATATTACCATTATTCAGTTTTTAGTTTAGTGTCATCCAAAACTAATTTTAGATAATATAGTCAGATTAGCCACGAAATTCGTGTTATATTTTCCAAAATTCCGTAGTTTCATAGACAATGTATGTTTATATTTCAAACCCATGAATAAATTTGAAATTTAATTACAAATTAAGGGCGTTGTTTATACTGCATCAGTTCAGAGACTTGTAGATTTAGGCACTCCATATTATTTAAATCGCTTTTGTTCAATTACTGACCCTTTTCCCTTAATAATATGACGCATATGAGTAAATATATGAATGACGCTCGGTGTACGCGAGCTTCATCATTTATTAATTCAACAGTGGTTTTGTTATATATTTATAAAGGGAATTATATAGGTAATTCATAATTTAAAAGCTGTTTAGGTAATAAAAATTATCGATGATAATATTGAATGTTAAATACATTAATGCATAATTAAGGGTGTAACTTTGAGTGGGGGTCATATTTATACAGAGACTATTAAGAAACTATTTTTTTTAACCTTCTTTTAGTAATTTTCACACCCCACCTCTGAACAAGCTAGCTGTGACCTCGAACAACGGCGCGCGTTAGTCTCGGCGTATGCAAATTGAGAACTGGGCTATGCATTGTTGTTAAATCTCGTAATTTAGGTTTTAACAAGCAAATTTTCACACCATCCGCTTTGGTGCGTTACTTTTGTTGAGTGGATGTTCACCAGGAGCTCTAGTAATCAATAATGATAAATGAAATACACAAAAATAAATAAATAACCTGCTTATTTACCTGATTTTTACAACATAGGTAATATTCGAAATTTTGTGGCTAATCTTCGACTACTGGTACGGGAATCCTCTTCCACAGCGTTTAAAATTTCTGGTTCCTAATTTCTCATTCTCTGAATTTGTTCGCGTCCAACATTAGCATCTCTCAAATGTTGATTCAACATCACAAACATTTTTTTATTCGGTACTTACTAGTCGGGGTAATTTATCTGATATCGTCAGCTTTGCTCCTTACAAAAAGTACGTTCTAACCAAATCAACTCTTTCTTGATTCTTGTATGATTTATCATATACAAAAACTTGAAAATTAGAACGTAAAATTACACTGTACCAAGGTACCACACAAAGGCACTTCATGAACATCCTCCCGTAAACCCATAAAGTCGAAAACTAAACTAAAAATGTAACCGATGAAGCAGTGAAGCATTCGACCATTTCCGTTTTATACCGAGTGCGAAGACAGTTGGCTTATCCACTTTCAAAAGCGACAGGCGACATTGCGAGACAAAATTGGGGCGGCTAACTGACGTTGCACTTCGGAAGCGTTCAGAACATGATGAGATTGTACTTAAATTTAAACTGTTCACGGTTTTATTTTGTTGTAAGACGATCTTATCGTTTTTTGGTAAAAAAATTTTTTTCGATACAAGCAACTTGATTCAAGAAAAGATACAAAATTGCGTGTTCAGGATTTTCGCTAAACTTGGGACAGTTTTACAAATAATGAACGATTGAAGGACATTTTCGATTTTTTTAACCTCAAAGCGTCCCAAAGACACCCTCAAAAAATCAATTAAAAGATCAAGTTTACAATTTTTATTAATTTCTCTAAAGAAAAAAATGTTTTTTTCGCAAAATTTCATATTTATATTCACGAAAAAATGCTTTACATAACAAAAAAGAAAAAAAGATTATGTATAAGTTGTCCTTATAATTAAAGGCCTTTTTAGATATTTGGAAAATATCGAATGCAAGGCGCCATATTCAAAGGGCTCTCTAGCTACTTGAGGGAGCGTTTTTGTTCAAATAGGCATAAAAACATCCACAGAATTTGAGGTAATCATTTGTCGATCAAGTTTCTAGAACCAGTATAGAATAGAATACCCTCCTTACATTTGGCCAAAGACCTGTTCTTTAATATTTTGTAATATCAAAGCAACACCCTGTATAGTAACTATACTAGGTGTCCCACCGAGAACTGCGTCGATCGATATCCAAGAAAGTACTGCTCCGAAAAATTTGTAAATTTGGCAACATGGCAATGTCACTGGAACGAACATAACTGAAATATCTAGAATTCTCCAGCATTTCCGGTTATACCGGAAGTCGACACCAACTTCGCTATTTTAAATGGGACACCCTACATATTATTGCATTTTCGGATTCTACGTGAGATTTGAGGCCCACTTTAAATATTCCCTATACCTAGGAGTTATAGAATTTGAGATATTAATTTTTAAATAAAAATTTAACAAATACAAGGGTTCGCGGAAATGCTAGTAACTCTTCTCAGGAGCGTGATATCAAGCGGATTTTGATATCTGTAAAGGGCATAGGTAGCGCTAAATTATGGTGTACCAACAAATTAAAACATTTAATAATAGGTGTCTCATTTTTGCTGTTACATTTTGATAACTTCAAAGAGCTTTGTTAATTTAAATGGAACACCCTGTATTTTTTTACTCTGTCGAATGCAGATTGAAATTTCCTTTCAATCCATATTATCATTGTTAGGGTTGTCGATACTACTTTTAGAGATATTTGCAATTTTCTATTTTTTTTTTGGATACTTTCTCTCGTATCAGACCTGTTGTCAAATTGGCCACGACTAGAAACACTCCAAAACAATTAAAATAGTTTGACATTTGTCAAGTTAGTTGTCAAATTATTGTTATGTTTGTAATATTTTTTGCTAAAAATTTAAATAAAAATGCCTGGGAATGGTTTAAATTATACTTACGAGGATTATTTTAATTAATTTGTTATTTATGGAAAATGTGACTAAGTAATTTCAAGAACATGTAGAGAATCTGCTACTTTTTTCCATAAATTACAAACAAATTAAAATAATCCTCATTACAATATAAACGATCCCGTCATTTTTATTTAAATTTTTAGCAAAAACTATTCAAAGACAACAATAATTTGACAACTAACTTGACAAATGTCATATTATCTCAAGTGTTTTTGGGGTGTTTCTGGTCATGGCAAATTTGACAACAGGTCTGATACGAGAAAAAGTTTCCAAAAAATAGAAAATTGCAAATATCTCTAAAAGTAGTAACGGCAACCATAACAATGATTATATGGCCTGAAAGGAAATTTCAATCTGCATACGACAGAGTAAAAAAATACAGGGTGTTCCATTTAAGTTAACAGAGTTATAGCTGTTTAAAGTTATCAAAATGTAGCAGCAAAAATGACACACCTAGTATGAAATGTTTAATTTGTTGGTACACCTTAATTTAGCGCCACCTATGCCCTTTACAGGTATCAAAAATCCGCTTGATATCAGGGTCCTGAGAAGAGTTACTAGCATTTCCGTGAACCCTTGCATTTGCCAAATTTTTTATTTAAAAATTAATATCTCAAAATCTATAGCTCCTAAGTATAGGGAATATTTAATAAAGTGGCCCTCAAATTTCGCGTAGAATCCGAAAATGCAATAACATATAGAGTGGTCCATTTAAAATAACGAAGTTGATGTCGACTTCCGGTATAACTTGAAGCGCTGGAGAGTTCTAGATATTTTAGTCGTGTTCGTCCCAGGGACATTGCCATGTTGCCAAATTTTCAAATTTTTCGGAGCAGTACCTATTTTCCTAGATATCGATCGACGCAGTTCCCGGTGAGACACCCTGTATAACGAGGATATAACGTGAGATTTTCCGTACACGGCTCAAAGAAACTTCAATCGCGCGCCAAAACAAAGAAAACACAGGCTATCAGATACGATCGAACCCTCGTCCCCGACCTTTGTATTTACCGGCCCCCGCTAAATCAAAGTTTGTTTCAGCGGCAGCAAGGATAAATCGAGGAGCCGCGCCGGCCAATCGGGCGGAACGGGCTCCGCCGCCGGCAAGAAGAACGTCACCCTGCTGGCCCGCTACTGCAGGGAGCACGTGCCCAGGAGCTGCGATCACTCCCTGCTGGCCAACGCCACCCGCTTCCCCAGGCCCTGCTCCCTCGCCGAGAGCTTTCTCACCTCCGGAGACAGCCTCACGCTGGAGCTGAGACTCGCCGACTCCACCGCACTCAGGTTATTGCTTTTCGCCTCGCACGCGGTGTTGCCAGCTTACCGGAATTTGGCTCATGTTTTACGGACAAAATGCGCAAATGCGGATAGCGAAATTTTTTATGAGTTATGCGATTTTATTTTGCGGAATTTGGTTTATTAATGAGTTGAGAATTTACAATGCATAAAAATGAAGTTGTAAATAATTATTTTTTTAAGTTATCTAACGAGCGTTCAAATAAAAACGTGGTCAAGTTGGTTCTGAAAATTTGGACGTAGGGCGTAGCGTATAGCAAATGAACTTAAACGTCATCTGTCAAAGCGCTGTATCGCCGCTTTGTTATTGAAACTGACAGCTGCTATACAGCTCGTTGAGAAATGAGGTTAAGTTGGTCGCTATAAGCTACGCCCTACGTCCAATGTGTCAGAGCCAACTTCGACCACGTTTTTATTTGAACGCTCGTTATTTACAAAATATCTTCAATATTTGTTAAACGCATATTAAGGTAACAAAAAGGACAAGAAAAAACTATTAAAGTCTATCACAAAACTCTCTTGTAGCAACATTAATTTCATGACGTGCATGAACATAGCTAGAACGTTTGCTTGGGCTGCAAGTACTATGGAAGCCTCCAAAGTAAAAAATTAAATAATAAATAAAAATTTAAAAAAAACGAACGCAGTCAACAGCTTATCGATACAATATTTCAAAACTTAAACACTCTTTCTTTTAATTTTGATAAAAAAAAGGGCGGCGCAGTCAGCGATTTACCGATTTGAGAAAGATGATATTATTGGATCTTTTTTCCTTGGTGGGCACCGGGCTTTCTAGGGTGGGCCGTGCCCCCCCCCCCCCTGCTACGCTCATGGTTACATGGGAAAATACTACCGATACAACCAAATTTCATCGGAAGTATGGCAATATCGAGATGCAAGTGAAGAAAATCCTTCCAAAAAAATTTGTGAATTTACCTTGATATTCTTATATTACTTTTTTTCAATGCAAATGTGGAAAAGGTATTTAGTATGTATTCTAAATTTGTTTTAAATATACAGGGTGGGCCATTAGTGTGAGAAAGTAAAATAACTCCCTTGTTACTCATAATACAGAAAAAATGTTTATATAAAAGTTGTACAGAATCAAGAAACTAAAATACATAATTAATTTGAAACATACAGTTCGATGAGTAAATATGGGACACGCCAGAGATTACATTTTTTAAAGGGAACACCCTGTATATTTTTAAACATATGGATTTCCGAGAAAATTCTATATATGGCAATACAAACACTTTATCATTTTAGTGCGGGGTTGCCAAGTTATGTAGAAAATTCTTCGAATTTTGGAAAAACATGACAAAGTTGTATTAACTTTCAGCTACTAACACTTGGAACAAAATAATTAGACCGAGTTATCGAGACAAGGGCTCCTATATTAGCTAATATCGATATTTTATACAGGGCATTTTTTATAACACGATCATTTTTAGAAATTTTAAACTTGTTTTTTCAAAGTTTTTCAAATTGAACACCCTGTATTTTATTGTTCTATTTTTTCACATATCGGTCCACTTCAACTTTTATTAAGAATGTTCTATATCTAAAATTGTTAGTTTTCAAGATATAGCAACATTTCTTAAAAAGCTTAATTTTTATTATTTTATAGAACAACTAACAAATATTAACTAATAAAATAAATTAGCTCAAAATGGAATGATAAATTTTGAACTGACAAGTTGACACAGTGCGACAGTTTTTTCCAAAGCCATTTCGTGCGACCGAAATTTATAAAAATTAGGTTTTTCCAGAAATGTTGCTATATCTTAAAAACTAACAACATTAGGTGTAGAACATACTTAATAAAAGTTGAAGTGGACTGATATGTGAATAAAATAGAACAATAAAATACAGGGTGTTCCATTTGAAAAATTTTAGAAAATCAAGTTTGAACTTTCTTAAAATGATCGAATTATCAAAAATATCCTGTATAAAATATCAATATTAGCTAATATGAGTCTTTGCCTAACATTTGTCTATAACTCTGTTAAATATTTTTGCTCCAAGTTACTACAACTTCTTCGAGGTCATGTTTTTTCCAAAATTCGAAGAATTTTCTACATAACTTGGCAACCCCGCACTAAAATGTTATACTGTTTATATTGTCACGTCTGCCGTTTAAAATACTAAAAAAATAATTAATTGTTAAAAAAAAGATTATTGCTTCGGGCTACTCGCTTGGCTGCTGAGAGGGAAAAACACACAAATCAATCAGTTTTAACGGTTTATTATAAAATAAAATACTTACACAAGGGCTGTTTGCTTGTCAAGTGGAGGCTCCTGACTGGCTCTCAAGGTGGCTCCTGACTGCCCCCGATTCACCGAGTTTCTGGGGTTTAAATATTCTTTACAAAATGCTGAGAGCATTAGAATTAAACCACCGGTAGAAGAATCGGGAACAGTGTATGAATCAGGTCGCCAGTTTATAGAGAGAGAGAGAGAGCGAGATGGACATAGTGCAAGGGTCAGTTCGGTATGCATTCAGTTTGCAACTGGACAATTTTCGTTGCTTTTAAATCTATTGTGCAATACTGACATGTCATTGATTCGAATTATATTTCTAAATTTTGTTCTATGAAATGAATAAGTATTTGTACTGAGAGTAAAAAAAATCTACTAAAGAATAATGTGTCCAAATAAAATAATGCCATATGTCCATAAATATTTATCTTTCAAAGTTTCTACATTTACAGGATGATTAAATTTTGAATATTACTCTTCCCTCTCTCTAAAATGCTTATAGTTGACAATATTGTCATATATAGAATTTTCTCAGAAATCCATATGTTTAAAAATATACAGGGTGTTCCATTTAGAATCGCCCTGTATGTTTCAAATTAATTTTGTCCTCTAGGTTTTTTTATTCTGCACAACTTTGACTGTGAAAGTATCCAAATTGACTTTCAACTGAATTCAGAATTATTGAATTATGAATGAATATACTTTAAAAAAACTAGAGGAGAAGGTCCGAATATGGACCATGTACTTAATATGGGCCCCATGGCTATTCCTACTAAAACATCTAGCGGCATCACTGAATAATACTTTAAAAGACAGCTACCTAGTAGCGAACTGTTTTACCGACATTGTGCAGTTGATTTCTTATATTGTTAGAAACAAGCGGTGGTGAATGTGTTACTGGAATTCAGAATATTAACTGAAGGTAAGTTGTTATTATGTTTTATACGATTTTTAGTGACTAGGTATATTTGTATATTCACCTAGATATTTTGTATAAAGATAAAGTTTGTTTTGTTCAGAAAATATTTTGATTCACTTAAACTCTACAAATAATAGGTATCTATTGTTGAACGACATGCAATGCTGGTAATATGGGCCTTTTGTGGGTCCGAATATGGGCCAGGGCCCATATTCTCCCCTGATTTTGAATTTAGTTTTTTTCCAGGTTTACCATGCCACGTAACAAACCAAAGCTTTCACCAAAGAAAGAATTTAAGGAAACAATGGAGCTCCGAAGACATGATAAAGGCTGTGGACAGCGTAAATAACAAATAAATTACATTTGTGACTTCTGCAAATAATTTCTTTCTTTCCAATTTCTGTTGTCGCCAAGTTTTTTACTAAAAAATAAAGTTTCCTTTGTTAAACGTAAACTTATGCACCATTTTTGATAGGGGCCCATATTTCATACACTCTACCCTCATACAAGATATTGTTCAATTTTCATATTTTAACTGATATCTCAGTATTTTTTATCTTTCCGGAACTATGCCGCGCTCATTATTGTAGACGAGTTCTTGGTCTAAGTGTGTCCCAATTTTTGGTTGTATTTGTCAAAAAATTTGTTAATAATCTATAAAAAACAAAATAGGGGCCCATATTCGGACCTCCTCTATTATATTTCGTAAAATTAAGACTTAATGGACTATTACAACATCTGCTGTTTAGTTGCAGAATAAATAACTCATATTTTCAGAACAATGTTCTTGTTTTGTTAAATGTAACTTTTTCATTTTTTCTAAAATTAAAAACTGTAGCGGATTTACATCCAATGTAGAGAATTTTAAGCCCGTATTTGGCGCAAACTATTTTTAACAGTTGGCAACGCTGCTCGCACGCGTCCTGCGGCCATGCCCGAAATGCAGGACTTCTCCCTGCAGTCGGCCGCCTTTGATCTCTCGATACGTAATAGAGAGACACGCAGGGGAAGTATTCCCTTGGGCGCCACTTTATAGACTGAACGTCAATATAAAAGTCATAAAATGATATTAATGTGAAAATAGAGGGTGTCCCGTAAAGGAGGTTACACTCGCCGGGTGGTGATTATACAAGGTCAATCATTCTACACCCTCCCCTTATCTTTTTTACCTTTCAATTTAGAAAAAAATAGTAAAAACACCAAAGTTTTAGTAAATGTTCTTTCGATATCAAGGAAGTACATAAAAATTAATTGACTGTTGAGTTTCTGAGACATAAACAGAACTTTAACTTTTTTAATGGAATACGGGAATATAGGATATTGGTCGTTTTTTGAAATCTTCTATATTTTTCTGATTATTACAATATATACACAGGATTTGCATAGTTTGCATCATAATTTCTGAGTTATTTACTGACCCTCCACAACGGATAAAGTCGAGATTGCTATGGAACCAGTGTATGTATACAGGGTGTCCCAGAATATGTGGGAAATCTCTCGGATTTACACAAAAGCAGTTAAAATAATATACAAATTTTCCTCAGCCCCCTACGGAGATACAGGCCCCTAAATGGCGCCCCTGAAAATCGATTTTTTTATAATAAATATTATTATATTATTATTTTTACTGTGGCCGCAATTAAAAGTGTTAAATTTAAAGTCTATATTTTTTCTTTATATCTCTATTTCTTTAATATGACTTTACTTCAATTTTTTTTCTATTAGACAAGTTTTTCATCTGTGTAACAATTAATTTTGTTTCACGAGGATTATTGAAAATGATCATCATTGAGTAAAAAAATATTAAATTAGTTTCAGATTTTCCTGATTTTGTAAATTATAAATGACAGTTTCTTATATAATTATATAATCCAATTTAATGTTCATCAAATAAGAATAATCACAAAGATTTAATTTTAATAAGGTCAAATAAGTCTATTAGTATAGTTTATTTTTTTTATGAATCATAGTAGGTTACCGATAATACTGATCATTTCCAGTTATTTTTGTGAAAAATCGATCGATTAAAAGTTTCTGAACTCAATATAAAGTATTTTTTAATAAAATAAAATGTTTGGTAATAATTAAATCAGATTTAGCTAATGCTGTTGTGTGAAATAACTACCCTGCGATCTACAGAGTTATTTTTGACGTCCTCTAGCGAATAAAAGAAGTGCGTATAGTTAGCTTGTAAAAGGTAAAAAAAGTCACCGAGTTATTAACGACATAAAAATAGCCGTACTAGTTGTCTTTGTGTTGATGAATACCAAATAAGTGAACCCTGAGTAATTCTCTATATGTATAATTTTATAAAAAAAGGGTATTCGTTCACTGTTTGAAGTAACCTTTGTAAAAGTTGTGTAGAGTGGAACAAAAATATAACAAATGTTAGAAACATAGCTGGTAAAATGGTATAGGTCACAAGCTTCATTTTAAAAACACGACCTCTAATTTTCACCGGTCGCTAACGAGTACATACGTTTTTCTTTTGTTCGGAATTGATAGAATATACCTATGTAATCGCTCAGAAATATATTTTACTGATTTATTATACGCATTTCTAAAAGAAATAGAATAAGAAATTGATTGAAGTGCAAGAAATTACGAAATTACTGATCAGAAATCATACTACCACAGCATACAACGCATCGACTGCTCCAGTTTCTAATAAGAAGTAAGGTTAAATATATGAAAAAAAGAACAGACCAATAATTTAGTGAATATAAAAAGTCGGTTAAGTGTTATAAAAATCTTTGGGTATTATAATCACAATAATATAAGACACCCTGTATAACTTTCTATTAAAAAAATTATAAAAAAAATGTACAGACTGTTTTATAAAATTTCACTTCGTAAAATAATCATTTCTAATTTAAATAAAAATGTGTATCTTTGAATTTTTGTATGCAGATATTTGTTCTAAGATAAAATTGTGGTACGTAAAACATAATCAAGTACGGAATTTCAGCTTCAATTTGTCCGGCATTGCTGAAATAGAATTTCCACTTTCAGTGTTTCCACTCTTTCGCACCCTACGCCAACGTATAGGTCACACCAAATCAACAAAGCTCAGATTTCCCAAATTTCTCAAATCAAATGCGTTCCAAATTTAATCTGTGACAAATGAAAGCGACGAATCCCGTATAAATAATGGCATTACTTTCGAACCAGTGACGCCTGAAATGTTGATCTCAAAGACAAATATGTCGAGACTTCAAATAACTCGCAAGGTGATATTTTCCAGCAAGAAATAATTTGTTTGGAGGAAGTTCCAAGTAATTCATTCTTAACCAAAGTATATGCTTAGAAATTACTTAGGTTTTTCATAATCTGTTTAAGTAACGAGCTTTTTCTACCATATTGCTCAGAATAACATTTTGTTGTAAGTCTTTTCTATATTTAACGTTTCATTTTTGTACAGGGTGTCCCATTAATATTGCGAAAAAATTCAGGGGGAGTTTCCTTGACCAAAAATAAGAAAGAAAGTTCCTATAAACCTATGTCCGAAAATGCTTCGTTCCGGAGCTACAGGGTGTTGAAATTTAGAAATTGATATTAATAAGTAAACATATGACGCCACTGCTTTTTCTTAGGTGTTATATTTTTTTCTAATTATGCGATTAAAAATACAACTTTTTTGTCTCTCAACTTTTTTTGATATCTTGCTTCGTTTTCGAGCAAAAATTAATATCCTTTCATATGCACATTCTTAAGGGAAGTAGAAAACAAAAATAGAAATTCAATGTTTTAGTTATTTACTAATCAACTTTAACAATACATTTGAAGGAAAAACAATGTAACAAGCTGAGAAACAATAACTCTCTAAATAATATTTTTTTAATAATTAATATTAACAGAAACATAAGAAAAAATATTTAACAAACAGCAATGATTACATACACAGGCGTTACAACAGTTATTGAAAATGTGCACCTTCAACTCTAATAGAGGCATCTATCCTACGACACATTGTTTCACAGGGTGCGACAATGGGGTTTCTTAATTCGTCTATGGTTTGCACTGGAGTCGTATAACCAAATGTTTGAGGTGACCCCAAAGGAAAAAATCCAACGAATTTAAGTCGGGAGACCTCGGAGGCCAGGGTTGAGTGCCTCCTCGACCTATCCAGCGATTTGGGTAGATATTATTCAAATATTCACGTGCAGCTAAACTGAAATGGGGTGGAGCACCATCGTGCATAAAATACATTTGCAACCTTAATGGCAATGGGATGTCTTCCAAAAGTACGGGCAATTCATCCTCAAGAAAACGGCGATAAACATCTTCAGTAAGCCTCGGTGGTAAAAAAAATGGGCCTATTAAGTGCTCTCCCACAATTCCGACCCATACCTTAAGTGAAAACTGGTGTTGATGACGGCCTTCTAATATTGCATTTGGGTTCTTGTCCGCTCATACATGATTATTATGGAAGTTCATTATGGTTTTTATAGAAAAATTCGCCTCATCCGTTTTTTTTTGTCGTATCCATCGACACAAATCAAATCTTAATGGAAAATCAGTCGGTAAAAGTCCCTGAACCCGTTGGATGTGATAAGGGTATAGAAGATTGTTTTTTTAAATCCTGAAAATTGTAAAACGACTTGCATTTAAGTTACTACTTGTTGGAGTGTCCTCAATTTCATGAAGTACATCTTCCTCTAATTGTAGGGTTATTGCTGTGCGGAGTCGCCCGTTTCCTGTGGTAAGTTTCCGAAAACTTCCAGTTTCACTAAGACGTTGATGAAGACGGGTGAAGATAGTATGATGAGGAATTATACGATTAGGGTATTTCTGCTCATAGAGGCGCCTGGCGGCTAATGCATTACCGTTGGCAAGGCTATAAAGAAAATGAATATCGCACATCTTACTACTTGTGTAATTCATTTTGACAAGCAGGAATTGACAACTACACAGTTCAAGTACTTATTAAAATTACACACTTAAGCTATTAATTTTTTGTTCGAAAACGAAGCAAGATACCAAAAAAAGTAAAGAGACAAAAAAGTTGTATTTTTTATCGCATAATTAGAAAAACATATGACACCTAAGAAAAAGCAGTGACGAAATAAATCAAATTACGTCAGAAGACGTCTACCGTTTTTATAAAAAAAAAAAATCTGAATTAAGGTTCTTCAGATATTAGTACAAACCTTGTATTTTCTCTAAATTTCAACACCTTGTATCTCCGTAACGAAGCATTTTCGGACATAGATTTACAGGAACTTTCTTTCTTATTTTTGATCAAGGAAACTCCCCCTGAAATTTTTTGCAATATTAATGGGACACCCTGTATTTCCAACTGTTTTTGAGATATTGGCAGTTGGAAAACCACTGACATTCCAAACACAGAAGAAAATATAGAACAAAATGTCGAGAATTCGAAAAAATTGTACTGAAACTAACCAAAACTTAAAAAATACCGATCTTTCCATTGATTATTTAACTCTATAGCTCCATCACCTTTTACAAATTATAAAATGTGCTATTAAATAAGATTCTCCCTGTTATTCCATAAAAAATAACGTTGCTGTGATATTCTAGGATCAGTCTTCCGGGATCCCTCTCGGGTCACAGCCTGCTGCATTTAATCTTTAACAAATAATGTCGTTACTTACAGGCCAGTGACATTCAAAGCCCTCTACGAGTTCGTGGATCTGCATTTAGACGGAGAACCCTTCGGCGAAGGGCCGTGCTCCAGACGATTCGGCGTCGCTACGAGCGATATACAGCAGAAGTTCAAGTCCCCCAGGGACATATTTCTCTACGGACGGGGAGGAGCGAAGAACATCAGGTAAGTTTTTTTAATGAATTACATAGAGAATAGTAATACGCCGTCTCTTCTGCCGCACGAGTGTTGTGATTCCTTGCGAAATTAAATCGTTTTTTGTCAAATAAACTTTTTGCAACAGGAATCGCACAGATACGTCTTCGAATTACCTGTCCCCGATTTTTATCACACCCGAATTCTATGCCGGATATGTGATGCTTTCCGTTGCTTCTTATGAAGCGAGATGAAAAAAGTTTACAAGATTAGGCGTTATAAAAACAGGTACATGCAAAGTGGAATTTCGGGTGAAATTTAATTTAGGTAAAAAATGCGCGTAGCCAAAAAGGATAAAACGTCACGACGGCGACGTGAGATATTTGTAAAATAATGTTAAGATTGTTTTGAATAATTCCGCTGTTGGATGAAATGCTCAATGTTATGAGGTGCTTCATTTCAAATTTCGTTAAATAATTTTGAATCCAGTGCCATTTTTCCTTCGTTTCTGTTCAGTGGTACTTTGCTATAATTTAGAATCGGATAATGCCTTTCACATAATTTACAGTTGAAATATAAGTAAAATAACAAAACAAAAACCTTATGGGCAAAACTTGAACCAAATTGATTTTAATTACATCTGGACATATTTTTTTATTTTTATATTTTTGTCTCAGTTAGACTTCTATTAGACTCCAAAGCTAATATTATGGAATATTATGTGACTACAAAAAAAATGGAATTTAGTTTATTTCAGATAACTTCGTCGATTTTAAATACTTTATGAGGGGTTTTTGGGGTACTATCTTATTTTTTAACTAAAATATAGAGATCGTTAAAAATACTTTATACAGTCTTTTGATTTCTTGCTATATTTTTTTTATTGGGAGAGATTTTGAGAAAATACTGATATTTTTTTAAAGATCGCTAAAGTGTACCATTGATTTTAATTTCAATTTTGGACAGCCCAAAATATGAGTATTCTATAGTCTAATTCATTCACCTAGCATTTTGTTTTGCTAAATTTTCAACTAAATTAAATATTTTTTTACAATACCTATAGACCAACTTACACCTATTCAGCAACGAACATTTACTGGAATATAATCTCGCGAATTTAACTTCGCGATATTGTATTCAAAAGGGAAATAATTTTATTTATATTTTTTTTATCAAAAATTTTTCAGTGAAGCAAGACTGTAGGTACTTTGAGTTTTACTGGAAATTAATTTCACCAATACTTATTTTTGACTGAGAGGAGTATATCTTAGTTTTTTATTTTTAATTGCAATTCGAGTAAGGTATAACATCTAATACTTTTGATATTTTATCACCTTAACAATCAGATACTAGAAAATTTTTCGAAACTATCTGCTCTTATCAACTAAATTATACTTTTGACATAAAAATTACTATGACTAAGTAAATTTGTTAAAAAGGTTTTTTCGGATATGAACTTATTAATTTTGGAACAGATAATTAAAAAAAAATCGGATATTGTTACTTAGGTAATATTTACAGGTTTATTTTAAAACTAGAAAAAGATATTCATTAAAATTCAAATTTACCGTCAGTTTCAAAATTTCCCTTAAATAATAATTTGTCGTTGCTAATTTCCTGTTCAACAGTCTAGAAGCATTTGCATTAAATTTAAATGTACCTAGTTTTCCACAATTAAACATTTTTTTTATTGTTTATTAAATTTGTATATAATTTTATTATTTATATACATATATAAAGGAAATTATTTATTTTCTTGGGTATAAGGTTGTAGTTTGATGGCCAATCAAAAAATGTTTAAAAAAACAACAGCAATTTTTTTATAATACTTAACGTTTCATTCCCGCTCAGGAACTTTTTCAAATGATTTGTAATTGAGCATATTATTTTATACAATCATTTACTAAAAACCTAAAAATATAAAACTACTTAATATTTTACAATTTAACATGCAATATATTATTTTTTACAATACGTTTTGTTTAAACATACCAAAAACAACCAATTCCATGTAGATATAAAAACCAATTATTTAAAAACCAAAACTGAATCAGGTGAAATTTGTTTTTCTTTTTCATTTTACATTTAATTTTAATGTTAATACGCATTATAAATTAAATTTATATGCGAATAATATTAATTTTGTGAGGTAATAACGTGTGGATGTACTGATATCGAATGAGAACAAAAACGACAATTCAATCAGATTGTATATACGAATGGTGGCAATTTTTGTAGAAATAAAATAAACTGAAATATCGAGCGTTCAAATAAAAACGTGGTCAAGTTGGTTCTGAAAATTTGGACGTAGGGTGTAGCGTATAGCAAATGAACTTAAACGTCATCTGTCAAAGCGCTATATCGCCGCTATCATTTGAATATTTTCGTTTTAAAAAGCGTTTAAAATGGTGTTTTCTCAAGAACAAAAAGTGTTTATCATAGAGTCCTACTTTAGAAATGGACGCAAGATTGATGGAATATGGAAGTATTCTATTGAGGCATGTTTCATAGAATTTCAAAATCAATTTCCCGGCGTTGTTGAGTATAAAATTTTTCAGTGCAGTTCAGCGTTGTGTTAATGTTTTTCGTGAAACGGGCAGTGTAACAAGAAAAGAAGGAAGCGGCCGACCTAAAAAGCGGACTGAAGAATTAAAAGAAAATGTCCAACAAATAATGGAAAATGCGCCAAGAACTTCTGTACGTGTTTTATCACAAATGGTGGGAGTATCAGTCGGTACCTGCCACACAGTGTTAAAAAAAGATTTGCGTTTGTTCTCCTATCGTTTAACTTGTCAGCAAGAACTTCATGAAGTTGATTTTCCGCGACGGGCTGTATTTTGTGAATGGTTTTTAAAAAACTACGGTGAACTTCATAATATCACCTTTTTTTTCTGATGAAGCCTGGTTTTATTTAAGTGGTTACGTAAACTCACAGAATATGAGAATGTGGTCTTCTGAAAAACCAGACTAACTTTTTTGTCGAGGGCCCTCTACACGCTCAAAAAATTGGAGTTTGGTGTGCTCTCAATCGAATGAGGATTTATGGACCTATTTTTTTTAATGGTACTCTTACTGCGCAAAGGTATAGAGAAGAAATTATCGCTCCTTTTGTTAACCAGCTGGAAGAAAACGAAATTACAAACTTTTACTTTCAACAAGATGGCGCAAGGGCACATACATCAGGCGAGACGATGAATATGTTGAGGGAAGTTTTCCAAAATCGACTAATAAGTCTCAATGCTAAACATGAATTTCCACCGAGGTCATGTGATATTAGGCCGTGTGATTTCTTTTTGTGGCCTTACCTTAAAAACACTATTTTTGAACTGCCTATTCCTGATTTAAACCATCTGCAGGCTCGACTTATAGACAAGATTCGTGAAATTAACAATACCCCGAGCATCTTAGAAAATGTCTTTAATTCTTTGAGGACCAGGTGTGAATTATTGTTATAACAAGGAGGGGGACACTTTCCGCAGCTCCTTTAATTGTTTGTTATTGTTATCACGATTATTCTTTAAAATAAAGTTATATTGTCATTAACGTTATTGAAACTGACAGCTGCTATACAGCTCGTTGAGAAATGAGGTTAAGTTGGTCGCTATTAAGTTGGAAGCTACTCCCTACGTCCAATGTGTCAGAGCCAACTTCGACCACGTTTTTATTTGAACGCTCGTTACAATTGAATGTATCAACCAAGAAAATAGTGTATGAACCATTTTATTAACAACTTTGGAAATAATTGCATTTATTTAATTAAATTAAGATATATCTTACTGAAATTTTTTATATCAGTTTTGCCATTAACACTGTTTTTATTTTAATCATTCCTTGAATAAGTCTTTTGTCATAATTTTTTTCATTGACTAAAATTTTAGTTTGGTTAAAATTAAATGAATGTTTTTTCCTTCATATTGTTATTAAAAGCTGCAGAACAATTTTCTGTGTATTTGTGGCATTTTAATCTGTTTTCTAAATTTTGTGTCATACATATACAGGGTGTGCCATTTAATACTCCCGCTGCCAATCTCTCCGAAATGAAGAAATTTATTTTAGTTCTGGAAATTGGAGGTGTTAGGTCTCTCGAAAAACTTCAAATTGTAGTTAGAACTGTTAGTTCAAATCTTTCTATATAGATGGCGTGGCGATACTAAAAAATTTTTTGACCCTGGAACGTGGAAAGGACTGCCTTCTGAATCTGAAAGATCGTTAAGTTTAATTTAATTTTGAGTTTTTCCCAATATTTACTTGTTTGGTTTTCAATAACCCTCACACTACAGCGCCTCCGCCCCTTTTTTTCAGGACCTTACCAATTGAATATTTTTTCAGCTGCACATACCGCTTCGAGGCGCACAAGGACGAAAGGATAAAGATCACCCTCGCCGAGATGGTGATAAAAAACCGCGACTGCGAGACGAGAGTGAGCAAGAACACCGATCGTCTCGAATGTTTCGGCAACATGTCGGCGACGCTGCGTTTCTTCGAACTGCCCTGGGCGGACGTCCCTGGGGTGCCAAGGGACTGTCTCTGCGCCGTCGACAAGGACAAACTGATGCCTTTCACTTACGTCTCCGCGTCTAATGTGGTGGAATTGAGATTTGACGTGACCGGCATGAACGCCTCGGACGACTTCAGGCAAGTAGATCATAATTTAGCGAGTGAAATGTCGGGCGTATTAGCCGTTTATTTAAGGATCCGACCTTATTTTTCATGATTTGAACGTGACGACCGTCGGGCGTGAATACAGATTAAGAAATCTTAAAAAGAATAAAATTCATCGACATCAAGGACTCGTCTATTCTACAGGGTGTTGCACCTAAGAGGGATTCTTCTTGCAACTGTAAAATTTATAAAAAAAAAATGGTTTTAATTGAAGTTGTCTGGAATCATGTGGGCCATGTAAAATATTTTTAGCTGTACAGGGTGTTCCATTTCACCTGAGCGCTACATAACTGTGTTATTTTAAATGGAACACGCTGTATATTATTGTATTTTTTAATTCCTTGGTTGAACCACATATTACAACCATATGCGACAGTGAAAGAGAGGGAAATACATTGTAGGACAAAGAAGGAGATGCATCCCAGTTAAAACCCCGGGATGCTAAGACGAAATCCATGTAAGAAAAGAACACTTCGGTCATCTTCGGCCGCTTTGCATCACTATTCGTGTATTGTCGAATAGGAGATCTTTCCGTGTTACTTTCCACAGCAACACCGCAATTGCAAATGTGAATGTGCGTTATTATTTACTTGATTTGATTTTCTTGTTTATTGTTGTTTATTTACGTGTGTTTAGTTTAAAGTGAGTGTTAGGAACGTTTATTTGTGAAATAAACATGAACTGTTCCTATCATAAGTGTAAAAATGCCTATCGGGCATGTAAAAAGGAAAACAAAGACATTCATTTTTTTAGATTTCCGCTGGACGAACATCTGTAAGTATTTTTAAGAAGTAATTAGTACAAACATACATAATTATTCTATTATTTACTGTTAGTTTTGTAATAATAGTTTTTCCTAATACCTAATCAGTTATCAAATATTTATAACCTTATTCATGGAAACTTAACCTGAATAGAGAATAGTCAGATACGTTTGTGTCGAACTACCTTTGAAATAATTTAATGTAAATATTTTATTTACCTACATGGTTTAATTTATTATTTAAAAGTTTATATATATCTTATTAAATTTAAAATAACCATGTGGCGCACTTATCTGAAAATAATAAATCTTATGAATTAATAATCATGTTTTTTATATGTAATATACATCCAGTAACAGTTATATATTTCCTCTGAGAATATTATATATTTTAACATAAAACTGGCTTAGTGTATGAATATTCATTGATATAGGAATAGTCGAAGTGAATTTTGATTTATTTGGATCAAATTATATTTTAATTTTTTTAAATATTATTTAATATAGAGTATTTTGTATTATAATATGTATTTATTTTATTATTATACTGTAATACAATATTTTATTATTATATACTGTTATTAGTAGGCTACCATTATAAATAAGAAACAAAAAATGTAAATAAATGCTGAAAATCACACGTGTTTTTTAATTCTTATATGTATATATATATAACCAACATGTACTTTTGTAATGTTAACAAAAAAATGTAAACAAATTTAATTATAATTACACTCATTATTTTTGAAAAAAAATCATATTTTCATTTGACAATAAACCAAGAAATTTTTTGTAAATATAAGTAATTTAAATTAAAAATGATTTAATATTTCATACATTACATTTTTCCAAATTATTTTGAAATTATTTAAATTGAATAACTTTCTCCATAATTTTATCAAAACTTAACGATCTATAAGTAAGGAATCAGTTGCCTATGTATTTTCCTCAATACTGAATCATTTTATCTCACTTGGCAACGCCATGCATCCCAGTTAAAGGTCCAAGGTCATCGCGGCGAAATTGACCACATCAAAGAGCTGTCGCATATGGTTGTAATATGTGGTTGAACTAAGTAGAGTTTAGTAAATGTACACGGTGTTTAAGACTTACCGTTTTTGAAATATTCAGTTGTTTAAAAAAAAAAAAGTTTTTAATTTTAATTGTAATACTGCAAATTTTCATTAAATTGTTAATGTTTCGTTCAGTTTTCATCGTTTCTTTGGTCTAGAAATGGAGAGTACGCATCAAGATCGTGTATTAAGCGCCTGTAAGAAGGCAACCGCTCTCTTACATACATGGCGGCGCACCCTTCTGAACGCTCAGTAGCTATTTGTTTATAGCTTCAAATAACAGTGGAAAAAACAAATTTCCACACTGCAATTACTCATAATTTGTAGTATTTAACGTGAACTTTCAAACGCCGTCAGCAGAATTACAAAATACCTATTCAATCAAAAGTTATTAACAATTGAAAATCGCAAAAATTGCATTTTTCGAGTTTTTAACGGGGTTTATCTCGAAAACTATGCGTTTAACAAAAAAATTGCAGGAGACATTTTCTTCTTAAAATGGGTCAAATAACAATAAAATACTATTTATTTTGCCAAAAACTAAGTTCTCAGTATTTTGCAAGTTTTTTGTTAATAAAAAACTTATCGACATCCGGGCACACTTCTACCCAAAAAAATCGTGTTCTGCAGCTCAAAATACACAAAAAAATACTTGGGTAACTCCATCTAAATGAAGGAAGCAATTGGAACCCCCCTGGCTACAGAACTAGAACACAACAAGGAGAAGAATACTTAGATCGCTGATTTACATCAATTGCTCGAAGTGTCTTCCATTTTGATTGATACACAAACGAATTCGGCTTTTAAAAGACTGTTCAACATCGGTCAGCATGTGTGGCGTAATTTCTTGAAATGCTACTGTAATGCGTTGCCACATATCTTCCGTGGTAGTTGGTACTGTAAACTTTGCTTATTATAAATCCCTATAAGAAATCGCAGCTTGTCATATCTTGGCACCTTAAAGGCCAACTCACTGGTCCCCCGCGCCCAATCCATCTGTTGGGAAAAGTTTCGTGTAAAAACTGACGAACCGCAGCGGTATTGTGAGGTGGAGATGTTGCATCCAGATTCTTCGAAATGTAGCTAAAGGAATGTCGCCTAACAAATCTTCTAGAGTGTTTGTTAAAAAGTTTAAATAAACTGCTCCAGTTAGATGCTGGTCAAAAAATGGTCCAATGACATGGGTTCCCAAAATTGCTCCCCACACGTTCAAAGACCATCGTTGGCTATGAGTTGTTCGGAATTGGTCAGGATTTACTGTGTCATAATGATGGCAATTATGACTATTAACGAAACCATTTTTATGAAAAGTAGACTTATCGGAGAACATGACCGGTTTAAAAAAGTCATCATCTTGATTTAACATCTCAAGTGCCCACTGACAAATCTTCAGTCTCCGCTGAAAGTCTACTTTTAGTAACTCTTGGTGTAATTGGAAGCGATAAGGATGTGCTGTGCTGTGCTGTGCTTTTGTAAAATCCTATTCGACGTTGTACTAATGCAATTGCAAGGCCTTTTTGACGCTGACATAGCAACTTTTTCGGACTTTAGAGAAGAACTTGATTTTTTTGGAAAACTGTTAGAGATAAGTATGGACAACCTTATATCAGTCGAAAAGGTATTCAATTTTGCATTCACCCATGACAATTAATATGGGTCATTCCATTTGAAAATAAAGTTTTTCAACTCGTAAGATTATTAAATGTAGGTCTCAGTATTTTTGGAGTCTGAATAACGTACACGTTTTGCTCACAGATGACAAGATAGAGTAATTTATGCCAAAACAAATTGTGAAAACTGCAGGTTTCTAATTCTAATTCGACCCCTAACGGAGAAAAGTTGATCATAGGCCGATTGCCTTACAGCAATATTATACATCAGCCATAAAATAATTAGTAGTAACACATCCAATGACTTAGACAGTGACTTTTATCTTCTCGCCATTGAGTTACTTCTCCCACTTTGCTACCGTGGGTTTGTCGGTAGTGATAGTATTAAAACGTTTTACGACTCGTAAGCTGTGAATAGTCATCAAGCATCTTTTGTTACCTTTAGATGATGTGTGTGTGTTGGGGGTTGCGGTAGTGGTGGTGGTAGCAAAGTAGAAGTAACTCAATGGCGAGAAGATAAAAGTCACTGTCTAAGTCATTGGATGGGTTACTAACAATCATTTTATGGCTGTATAATATTGCGGTAAGGCAATCGGCCTATGATCAGCTTTTCGCCCTTGGGGGCGAATTCGAAAGGGTTGGAGGGGATTTTGGGCTTTGTGCCCATTGAAACTTTTGATCAGCGTGTTAAGAACTACCGATTTGCCAAGTTTCAGAAAAATTGGCCGAAACCCATTTTCCATAATGATTGAGCGTGGTCTTTTGACAGTTACAGAGTTACAGAAGGTGGAACATCTTGTATACGTCTTTTCACTGCAAACTTTTTGATATTTTTAGGTATTAAGTTTTAATCTTCTTCTCAAATTATTGATTGATCTTCTTCACCGAAACGAGACATTTTGAAACATTACACAACAATTTCGACAAAAGTTTACGTCGACGTGATAGCGATAACAAATCAGCATAGCTGGCATGGCTATCGTTACATTTTGATTTCAATGATGCTACTTCAAAATATCAGGTTTGCTTTGTAATTTCAATCACAACTTTGTTATGAAATAACACAGCAACGCGTTAATAAAAAATATCCACTCTGGATAATTTTCAAAATATTTGTGATCTCGTTTAAGCATTAGTCATATTATAAGTGGCAGTTTTATCAATCAAGTTTTTCATCGTTTTGACAATGAAAATGATAAGAAATGAAAACACTGTTCATCATGCTATATCCGTCTGCATAGGTGTTAAAATATAATTGAATAATATGTTTATTTATTATAAACTCCCCATAATCCGATCTAGATGTTCAAAATAAACACACCCTCATCGACAACATTAATACAACTTTAAATCCGCAATTCGGGAAGCACAGATTCGATACGTGATCGACGTGCCCGCAGCAAACCAAACAGTCGACGAAGAACGTTCCGTGACCCACGTACTGGCCGTATTTTTACTTGCGTTTCTGCGCCATATTGTTAGCAGCATAGCAATTAATGTTATGGTGTAGTTAATCTGAGCAAGTTGGATTGGCGTCGACCGAAGCGTGCGCTCAGTTAAATCCTCACGGACAGCTATGAAATTACATGGTAGCGGGCGTCTCGATCCTACAAACAATGACCGCAGTGAATATAGCTTCTGTGTGTGTCGAGCTAGGGATGCCCTATTTTGACGCAACACCCGAAGATAGTGACAGAGGGACCTCTTAAAATCCCCGTAACAAATTCGTTGGCAAGTTTGTCGGAGCTTATTAAATGCTTGTTAAAATAAAAAAATGTCCTATGGAACGAAATTCTAATACAAACCATATATGCACGGCAACTTGAAATATTTGAAAATCAAATATTTCCTATTAAAAACATTTTTGTGCGCAATGAATCCGAAGAGTAGGTTTTCTTTACTCATGACGATCGAAGGATTTTGCATTGCAAAAACCTACGAAAAATAGCGGAATACTTCCTTTAAAATACATAGACCAGACCATAGACAGAATTATTTGAATCCTTCATAAGGTATTAAAAAATATATAAAATATCGCGAAGTGTAACAAATAGGCGTCAGAAAGAATTACAATGATCAAACAGGCTTTCAAATATAATAAAATGCGTCAAAATAGCTTCAGAAATTCTTCAAATTCGCTGCGAAATACATTCAAATAGAATCATGTCGAAAATGGATAAATATATTAAAATAATGCATTAGAGACTTCTAATAACTTCAAATTACTTGAATACGACCTCGAAATATGACTTTTGACTCCAGAGGTATTGGAGTTGATGACCTTTGATCACGTGGTCAATGACAGTTGACGTCGGGTTATGAGATCTATAACTTTTCGGCAGGGCCGTCTCTAAGGTATCCGCCGCCCTGGGCTAATTGTCTTAAACGCACCACACCCCCAACCATCAACTCCACCATCAAATCTAAAATAAAACACAGTTCTAACACCTACAAATCCAAAATATAAAACTACCCAAGATAAAACTACTGAGCCAAGAGAGACGCATAATCATTTAATAAATCTCAAGATTTACTTAAAATTTATATAATTTACAGGCCTAAAACTATAAAAAATGGTCTGTTTATTCTGTAGGTATTGTCAAAGCTACTCGTACAATGCATGTAGGCACAATGGATCCTGTCATGTCTTATTTATTAGTTTATACCTTATTTTTTGAGAAAAGGCAAAGATACCAGACGCCACACGTGTATGTCAGATGTTGACCATAAATAAAGGATTTCTATTCATTCACGAAAAAATTTGAGTGATGTTCAGGTCAATACCAATAAAATAACTTTTTTACTGTTTTACCTCCAAATTTGTTCTCTTAGGAGATAAGGAGATATTTTATATTTTGTTTGTGATTGTACTGGTTGTAGTATAAATAAATTTAGAATTGAAGCAAAACATAAAATTTTATTTGTAGGTTGAAGTTTAAATTACAAATATATTTTTGCAATAATTATAAATCATTTGGCTAAATTTCAATGTGTATAAAACCTAGATATATGTACAGGGTGATCCCGAATAATGTGCAAAAAACTTGAGGGTCAATTGTTTAAACACTTTTAATAGGGGTCCTTCATATACAATTTTTTGATTTAAGCCCTCTTAGAAGAGTTACGACCCCTTAAAAGGGGGTGAAATATGTAGTTTTATTTATTTATTTCCAAACAGTTTGAAATTTAGAAAGTGAAATTTGTCATGATATCTAGGATGATAAAGCTTCTTCTAGACGAGTATTTTTTTATTGTCCTCGTCCTATTATAAGACGTTGAAATTAACTACCCCCTGCACATTTTTTATTAGATTCTTTTTTAAGTACATTTTTTTGATAAAAAAACTTTTGAACGCTTATTAGGAATGTTCTTGCCTCTGATTTGTTTGTCATCCAGTAGGAAATTATGGGATGTGCACATTTTTTATTAGATTCTTTTTTAAGTACATTTTTTCGATAAAAAAAACTTTTGAACGCTTATTAGGAATGTTCTTGCCTCTTTGATTTGTTTGTCATCCAGTAGAAAATTATGGGATGTGCAAAATCAAATGAGATTGAAAAGAAGCTATATGCGTGTATGGTCCTGAACCTAATTTTTTTACTCAAAACCTGTAATAGGTAGGTACTTATCAAAAAATTCAAAGCGGGAGAGTATTTCTCTATGACATTCACTTTATGCGCAATAAACAGTGTAATAAACGTCTATTCAGTGTGAGCGAGACAGAGACACTGAGAGTGAGATAAGAACTGAGAGCTAAGATGCACATTATGTGCGTCTTAGCACTAAGCACTGGCATTGGCCGCCTGGGGCGCGGCAGTTGACTTTAACACGTACATTACCACGAGCTGTATTTGGCCGCCCTCCAAAAAATGGCCGGGCGCTTAAGACGGCCCTGCTTTTCGAGAGTATCTAGGTTTAGATGATTTTATAGGTTTTCGAAGTATTTCCAAGTATTTTGAAGTTGCTTGGGAGTTTTAGAGATATTTTGAGTTTGTTTCGGTGTATTTTACATTTATTTAACAGTATTTTTTAAGAATTTTTATTAATTCTAAAACTACTTTGACGATTATCGTATTCATAAAACGTTTTGATGCAATTCAATGTTCCTTGATGACGTTTAGAAATGCTTTGACATATTTTTGAAGGATTTTAAAGCTATTTCGATGGATTTTGACGTGTTTTGAAGCACTCTTTAATGTGTAGTGATGCATCATGAAATTTTGTTTTACTTTGAACTAGTTCTTACATATTTTAGTCAAATACTTACAAATATTTTATTAATTACTTAATGTAGCAACCAAAATATACCGCTGAAATTATAAAATTAATATTATTTTCACTGTTTAGCACGCTGTTCTTCGAGGGAAGTTGGAAAACCATAAAAACTCCCGTTTGCTCCAGGAACCTGCGACTGCGGGGTCCCAGTGGAGAACTGCTTTTCGTTTACCCTACCCCACCCAGTGAGGTAAGCTTGATCAAATATTTCGAAAGAATCGTTCGTAATAAAACAAAAAAAGATTGTTGGTGCTAAAAAATTATTTTTCGACAGCCGTTTGTACCCATTTGATTGCTACAAATCTTCCAACTATTGCAAAGCAACTAAGGGAAATATCTGCATCACTTATAAATAGAACATAGCACAACCGCAGGAAATAAAACAAAAGCGCAAATCAAGAAGTAGAGTAAAATATGAACTTTGTAGCTTGTCAAACGTGAACAACTCGCGTTGTACTATTTCCATAATTTATTTCTGACAGCAAAATGTGCATAACTTTTATAAAAATAAACCCACTCTACTGTTCGGTTCAGCTTATTTCTTGCTAAGATAGAGTATGAGCACGTCACAACATTTGTTCCCATTTTTCGTTATTTTAAACATAAGGTAATTTGCAGTTGCCAATGATTTGTCAAAAAAACAGTCACGTAGGATAAATTTTTTTATGTTGAGTTGAAAAACATTGAGTATGAAATTAAAAATATGGGTTTCCATATAAAAAACCAAGGCTGATACCTTGATAATTGACTTTAAGGTTAATTTGAGTTAAGTTCACGGTAATTTGATCCCCCCGAAACCTGATTGTTGAAAATATTCCACCATCCTGCTTATTTCTTGAGATATTAGCCTGAGAATTGAAATGAAACAGTAAAAGTATAGCGCACTCTAGCGAGAGAACGAAACATTTTCAAAAGAATGTTTCATACAAAGGTTACGTATTTTTTCCCGTAAAATACGAGTCTGCAGTAAAAAAAATATGGGTTTCCATTAAAAAAATCAAGGTTGACCTTAAAATTACCTTGATAATTGACTTCAATGTCAAATTCAAGGTCACCATAATTTGATCCCCTCGAAACCTGATAACTTTTTGTTCGAAATATTTTTTTTGTTTCCAATAATATCAGCAGTTAGCAGTCTTGTCTGCTGGAATTTGTTTAAATTAGGTTAATACCTTTGAAATATAGTAAAAATCGTGTGAGTTAATAATAATACTCTTATATGTTTATTAAAAAGAAATTTACTAGAGCAGACAAATAAAGTCCAAATCCTGTAAATACATATAGCAAATAAAATAAAAAAAAGTTAGTGGAAAATTATGTGTTAATACAGGGTGATTAAATCATAATGTCATTAATTTTAACCAAGTACTCGGAAGGCCGAATAAATACCGAGAATCGAAAAAAAATAATTTTCTCGACTTTTTAAAAATTAAGCAAATTACCTCTTAACTCCCGTTAATTCGGCGTCCTACTTTGCATCCAATTTGCTGACTGGGAACGCGCCGGCGCACCACAGAACGTTGGAATGTTGAAGCGAAACAGCTGATTTCCCCAGTCGTCAAATTTTGCAATTGGTTTCAAAATCAAAGTGAAGTGTATCATCGTTTTATTAACAAAGTGCTATGGACGGATGAGTGTTGTTTTAGCTGTACTGGTATTTTAAATAGGTAGGTACCATACTACTCTTTGAAAAGCAATAAGTCACACAATAAGGTATACGTACTACAAACTAAATAGTTAATTGAACATAATACGAAACACTCATATTCAATTATTATAAAACATAGTGGAAACGTTAATAATATTAAAAATACTAAATTGTAATAACCTGACATTCGAAAACTATTATTATTCTTATATATTGTTATGTAATTATTTGTTATGTACCTAAGTATATTATATAAGATAATGTATGTGTAATACTCAGATAACTCAGATTGTCAACAGGAACAATTACTTACCTTCAACTGCTCAGCTGTGTTTAAAACTTAGACTTCTTTCGGCCAAGACAATTATTCTCAAATATTAAAACTCTGGGTAGTTAAAAGAATTTACTAATTTGGAAAATGAAAAACAAATTCAACAGTAAAAAAGTTGAAGGTACTATTGGTCCTGTATGCAAAAGACCTCTTTACCTACAGGGGGCGTTCTTTAGAAGAATGACTGATTTTTTCTAAATTCAAAATTATTTCAATTAACTTTAATTTCGTCAATTCTAAATTAAAAAGAATAATTAAGTTCAGATTAAATCAAATTGATTCCTGTTTTTAACATAATTAAAAATTTTATAATTACCTACGTAACCTACGCCGAAACTCTTAATTACTTATAACTATTGACAAGAAATATACTAAAATTCCCAGAAATTCTCAATCCGTATAGTATATAGTTTTTTTTACCTCTGTTTATATTCACCAAATTTTATTATGGTCCTTCTCACAACTATGTTCAGGTTTTAAAAACAAGAGGGCTGGACTACAGGGAGACACTACTCTCTGTTACACTATAAAATGTCTGCAATTTACCTTTTTCTCTTCCTGTCTGGTTTCATATGATCTTGATGTGTATCTTCACTGTTTGTTTATGTATGTGCCGAATTTATATTTAGTTTTCTTCGTTTTAAACAAAGGTCTGTTTTGGTCGTTCATTATTAAAAACACAGTAAAAGCTAGGTTAATGACCGAATGTGACGGTAGGTCAAGATTCACTCTCGATAAACCTTTGTAGGTCAACGTTCAAGAGCGGTCCAAAAAGGGATTTAAATAATGATTTTAAAATATTTTTTAAGTTTAAATATGCATTTTAATTTTTTTTTAATCGCGTATTCATATTCTACTCATTTTTCTCGATCTCCCCTTAAGATTATGACTGAATCATGATAATGGTAGATCCTTATTCCGTTTGAAAATAATTAAACGAAATATATTGAAAATATTCACGTTAGTTGAAAGGAAAGAGAGAGTTTAAAATGATATTATTTAACTACATTATTCACATTAAAGTAAAATTTCACTCTCATGTATTTTACCGCATTAAATATGTTTTTTATCACATCTAAATTTGTTTTGTACCTTTTTATCCTTTACTTTTACTTCCCGCCAGAAATTTATATCGTGCTATCTTCCAAAAAAACACCAAAGATATTCCTGATCACTAAGGAACGAATATTTTTCTTCTCTCCCTTTATCAGTCGCCCCCCTTTTCAACCGCCTTTTGTGTGGCATGACCCTTAAATGGCCCTCTTAGTATATATTGTCTAGATAGTCGCCGATAACAGCGATAACCATTCTCGTAACATTCAAATCGCAGTCATCCCATTACACTCCCAATGAAACCCGAATGGGGAGCAGTTGCTTTGTCTAAACGCCCCATCAAGAAGGTACAAATTATCTTAACTGTTACAACAGAAGCGTCCCGTTCGGCTTGATTTCGGTTTCATTTGACCAAGACGGACGGAATACGTCAGACCCAGGCCTGAGCTGGGGGTATTGCAGCCTCTCCGGCAATTAAGGTTGCTGTATCTGAGAATTAATGGGTAGAAACTCTTTTAATTAAATGCACCTGTGATACGTGAAGCGTATAATCTGTTCAACAGCGAAAAAAGCAAAAAGGTTTTTTTTTGTAGCTCAAGCATTGCAGGTACATAATAATACAAAGAACGTTTTTTTTTTCAAATCGATATAAGTTTTTAGACCTATTAGAGATCAAATTTCTTGATTTGACTAGACGCACAGCACCTACAGGGTGGAACTTTGAATGGAGGTCATATTTATACAAAGAATAAATCGGTATGAGTGAAAACAATAAAGATTCGGATTGAATCCATTGAGTGAAATTATTGAGTACATTTTCACTCAATATTAGGCATTTTGATCATTTTACTCATTTGTGATTCTGTATATTTAAACTAAAACTGAGTACTTTCACTCAAATGTAGGTATTAATTTCAATATATTTCGTTTATTAATTTATGAGTGATTTATTTTTGCGCTCAATATCTAGTTAATTAAAAACTAAATCTGAGTAAAAAATTACTCAATAATAGTTAAATTTAAATCATATTAGAGAAAAAGTTAACTCTAAATTGGTTTTTATATACTCAGAATAGAGTCAACAGTCACTCAATTGATAGTTAGCAATAACTCGGATTTGAGTAAAACTCACTTATTTCTGATACAACAGTTTTAGTCAGTTGTACTAATAGAGTGAAAAATTCCCTCAATCGGGTGTGGACTGAAATTGATACATTATTGAGTGAAATTGAGTGAAATTTGAGTGATTTTTTTTACAGTGTATCTTTGACCTTTAGACAAACGTATCATAAGTTTATTTTTAATTAATTTGTTATTTTTTAAACTTTTTGCTAATAATTTTCATACCTCGCCACTGGATTTGTCATATCATCCCACATAAACGAAAATTTAATACTTTTAAATAAGACAAACTATGAAACAGTACCTAACAAGTGATCCAACAGAAACTCAATCAATAATAAATAAATAATGATAAATGAAATACAGAAAAATAAGTAAATAATCTGTTTACTCATCTGATTTTTACAACATATTACATACTTGAAAGCTTGTTGCTAACCTTTGAGTACTGGTACCAGGATTCTCTTCTATGTCGTTTAAAATTTCCGGTTCTAAGTTTCTCATTAATCAACTTTGTCTTCGTCTAACATTAGCGTATTGGCATTCAAAGCTCCCATAACCCGTTAAATGTTGAATCAACCTTACATATTTTTATTAATCGATTCTTGTTCGTCGGGATACTCCATTTGATATAGTCTTCTTGCAACAGCATCGTTTTCTCCCGACAGAAAGTAGGCTTTAACCATATCAACTATTTCTTGATTTGTATACACGCTTTTTCATATTATCACACAAAAACTTGAAATGAAAACACAAAAATATACTATACCGTCATTAATCATTGAAATAATTAACTTTAGACTTACACAACACAAAGACACTTACAAACTATAGTAAAAATGTAACAAAATGAAGCGGGGTTTGTTTTTCATCCGTTTACCATCCAGTCATATCATACCAGGTGCGAAGACAACTGGCAGTGGCGGCTTTTCAGAGACGGCAATAGGGAATTTTAAATGAACAGCAGAACTCTGCTGCTATTCGTAAGCATTCGAAACAGGATCGGATTATGATGAAATTTAAATTATATTCACTA